AGAAAATCACGATTTCAGGTAAATTAGGTATTTGTTTACTAAAAGTACCTACAGTTAAATAATATATTTCGCGTTTCAAACCGTTGAATGTATTTTATTTAAATGTGTAAGTACTCGCGTAAATTACAGTCAATCGTTTTAAGATTAAGTTGAATATTTTAACGACCCGGAGTTAAAATATGTCATGTTATATTTCATGTTTTAAAGCGTTAAAAATGTTTCTTTTTGTGTTATATATATAGATTGCATAAGAAATTACATGACTTAAGTTCACCTTTCCCATATTTTTTCTTTGCTATAGAAACATCTATAACGCTTTAACAAAATTATTGTATCACTTCTTACTTGACGTTTCGAGTGCTTCTCGGTCTCTTTGTAACCGCGGTTGTTAAAAAGCTCCTAAAATAATTCATCTTACACATAAATACAATTTCATATACATCGCTCTTATATGTAGATGTTATCAGTTTCAAATAGTTTTATCCAAGATTATGTTTCTGCGCTAAGCACCTTATTGTGACCGAATACAGTATTGAAATAGTGAGGAGGTAAAATAATAAACCTACCCTCTATTTATCATAAAGTTTAGGTTGGAACAATTATTGTGCGTGCATCAATGTAAGAATTAAAAAAAAATCAACGATAAAAGATTATATTTCTCGATTGATTGGAGAGGATTCTGAACATTGCGCTTATAAAAAAGGTCGGCAGCTCATCAGCTTTCAGGGGTTATATGGCTGGGGTGTTTCATCTTTCTTTATGAACCTCACGTTTGTTTGTTCTCCGTTCTCCTACTTTCTATTGGTAACACGGATGGAGGCGAAGTCCGTCTCATCAAAATTCTTAGCAAAGTTCATAATTTTGTAAGAACTAGAAATCTTTATTAACGACGAATGAGAATAGGAAACTTCCAAGACTCTGTTTACCAATATTAAAATGCAAGGGAGTCCCTCAACAGCCGAGGTGAAGATAAGAGCCCCACAATGGGAATGTTTGCGCGGGGAACGCTATCGCCCTCCGTCGCGGAAACAAATTGAAACCTAGCAGGAAGATGATAAACGGCACCCTAATAACCTACTAAAGGATTAATGGATTTTAAAACATCAAGATCCTGATGGTCTCGTTCCGTCCACAGATGAAAATGCCGTGAAGTTTGAAACGAAACCATGGCGTTTCAGATTCAGTCTGTGGGTTTTCGAACATCCAAAATGGCGGCAACGCACTTTATTTAGATCGCTAGGGTATTTCAAATTTCATTAAGTGGTCTCCTCTATCATAAAAACAATTAAACAGCAGTGGGATCAATTCCAACCAGCTCGTTTCTAGATATTTGTAAATCATTTTCTGATTTGTCTAAAATGCCCCGTCTATTTATATTGTACCAACAATGCGTTAAACATCTAAATTCTAAACAGTTTCAGTCGTATTTAAATAAAACACTTTAACGGTTTAAAACGCGATATATTAGTTAAACTTATTTGAAAAAGTGCGGCCCGACGTTCCGGATCGTTTCGGCTGCTACAAAGCATCCGTAACGTCGGGCCGAAGTGAAAAAATATTTTCAAATAAGTTTGAGTTAAAGTGTTTTATTTAAAAGTTTCAGTCTTAGTAATAATTTAATTGTTAATTAGATATTATATGTCTTGGACATTTCAACTACCACCAAAAAGCGACACGGCACAATTGGTTAGACCGTTAGACCATCAGCACGGAACGCTATGGATAATGATTCATGTCGCGATCGTGTCGTAAATTGTTTACAATCTAAAATTTTTTTTAAATTTATATATTTAAATACTGTCTATAGTTTACGCGAGTAGTACACATTTAAATAAAACACTTTAACGGTTTAAAACGCGATATATTAGTTAAACTTATTTGGAAATGATTTTTAACTTCGGCCCGACGTTTCGGATGCTTTGCAGCAGCCGTGGTCACGGGGAGACTGCTGCAAAACAACTCAATCTACCTTTACAGGATTCCGTCGATAATCTTATGCCATCATGTGCACTAACTTGTGAGAAGCTTTCAAAATGAATACCCACTTAATTTTAATATGAATAGTCTACTGAAATAACAATAATAGTCAGTCATAAAGGGTCTTGGCTTTTTAAAATGTTCGTCTATAAATTTTCAAAGCGATAAAACAAATCCTACCGCCATGCATAGGTAATCCATTGTTAAAATTATTTCTTTAAATTACTTTAAGTAATAATTACGCATGAGTTAATGCCATTCAGATAGAGAATTAATGAACAAGGAGCCGATAAGAGATAACAGAGGCTATACAATTAGAGGCGGTTCATTGGGTGTCGTTTTTGAAGACGGCCCGACGGCCTCGGGTCACCTAATGTTGTACTTAACGTATCACAACTGTCATCGAGTGAAGATACATCTGTATTCCACTAATTGATATGATATATATCTATATGTACTATTATAAAATTACTGGTTCTAATTGAAAAAAATATTTTTGTGTTAGTTGGATCATTTATCGTTTTTATAAAATACCACGTTGTGACTAATAAGAGCGAAGAAGCAGCGGAAATGTGAAAAATCGGGGAAAATTTTATTCTCTGTGGGTTTCCGATGCGTACGCTGCAAAAATGGTTCAAAATACCCAAAAATGTGTATGATTACTTTTTAAATGATCTAAAAAAATGTCCGCTACACTATGTGTCTATCTTTGAAGATTAGGTTTGCAAGAACGACGGGACGCGACCGATGTCGATGTCGGATAGCAATTTAAATCATAAAGAGAGCAGTTTTGCATAAACAAATTTGGATGCCCAAAAATAACTAACTATTCTACGCGCACGAATTCGCTGACTCAGCTAGTTTGTTATAAGGATGATTTGTAAGCGTTGGTCTTCATAAAAAAAATGAATTTACAATTAAAAATGTTTTATAGCTTTCCCCGATAAATGTTCTGACTAACACAAAAATAATTTTTAAATTCGAACCAGTAGTTCCTGAGATTATCGCGGTCAAACAAACGAACAAACTTTTTTTTTATATATTAGTATAGATATAGATTTTATAAGAATAATTAAATTGATTTGTACTTAGAGCGTGTATTTTATATTTTTGAATTTTTAATATCAGAGTACGTAAAAATTCGCTATTATTATACACTCTATGAAAAATATAATAATATTGTTATCAGCTCGCTGGTTTGTTGTTATTCTCTGAAAAGTGCAGATATCTAGACTTAGTTCGCAGAAACTCCTCCCACTGTCAATAAGAAAACAGTCAATGAGTAAATAATTTGTATATACGTTTATAATCGATACCTAAATACTGTCTATAGTTTACGCGCGTAGCACACATTTAAATTAAACACTTTAACGGTTTAAAACGCAATATATTAGTTAAACTTATTTGAAAATGAAGATAATGAAAAATGATTTTTAAATCGGTACCTAAACTGAATTTTTATTAAACAAATTAAGTAACTTGTTTTAATATGATTAATTATTAATATATGGTTGAAACTAAATATGTAAATACCTAGTTTTTTAAACATTGGCCAATATTTCATTATATAGCCATAATATACAGAAATCCTTTCAGAAGGTGTGTAAACTGAAACATGAATTTTATGAAGTAGTTGGTAGATTTAGTTTGTAAAAATATTCCCAATAAAAATACTTGCATAGAAGAAATACTATAATTTCGACGATAAGAGACAACATTTCAGCCAATAAAAGAATTCGCTACGCCTCTCCTATACCGCTACACATTTGAAAAACTTATTCATTAAGTGAAAATTAATAAATTAAACTGATTAGTGAATCGGACACAGAAATATGTCCGCGATGATCAACGATGGGGGGGGGGGTTTACTTTTAGCGCTAATCTCAAGAACTACTTGCCTGTTCGAATTTCAAAATTATTTTCGTGTAGGCATCGAAGAAGGCTATAAAACATCACATTATGACCAATAATAGCGAAGACACAGTGGAAAATGTGAAAAAAAAATAACAATTTTTTTTTCTTTGCGGGTTTCACGGTTCAAGATACTCAAATATGAAAGAATGATTCCTCTTTAAACGATCTTAAAAATGTCCGCGGCAGTACATGTCTATCTTGCAAGATCGACAGGACGCGGACGACGCCATGGGTAACAGTGGTAAAAGATGAATTTTTATGCCCAAAATAACTATTGTACGCGGACGAAGTCGCGGCCACTGCTTGTTGTATATAGTATAGTAGCTTTTGATATCTTAAAGTACAGAATTGTTGTTAAGTAGCGAGTATTTATCGTCGACTTGAAAACTCAAGTGGCTTACTTCTCGGTCTTCGAGACTAAAGTTTTATTAAAAGCTTTCTTGTTACAGCCATACATGTCACGACATTTTTATTACGCAAATGAATTTCTACCTATTTAGTTAATCATTGTGTGATTGGGTAAATTTGAAATACCTAAATGTTTGATGGAAAAGTTTCATAACGCGAGCAGTATTATGCGCAATAAATTTAGTTATCGTAAAAATATGTTGTGGGTTCGTGTCGCGTCTGTGTAAATTTTTATTTAAAACCTTATTTATTAAAATATATATAAGGTCCCTTGGACATTCAACAAGATTAAATTATAATTATTTACGTATTAATTATTTTTACAACCTCTTTTAATTCGAATTATAGTTTACGTGAGTAAGAATTTTAATAAAATGAATTTAAACGTTCTCATATTCAATATAAAAATCCAAAACGTTGGGTCGTATATACAATTATTTAATTAAATAGGAGTAGTTCGCGTTTAAAATGTATTATTTTATATATATATATTATATATATATACCTACTTATTTGTTGTTATTATAAAATGACTAAGGTATTTCTCCATTTTCCTAACACATTGCGAATGTGTTGCTGTGTCTTAGCTACTGACATTAGAAGTAACGAACGGATGTTCAAGTACATTATAAATTAATGGACCTAGACCTAACCTAGGCGCACTCATTACGATTCCATAAAACATTTAAAACACCACTTACTTGTTCGGTTGTGGAACTATTGTTTCATAATTAAAGGACTGCAACAGTTTCCCGACAGCTTCGTTGATCTCCAACTTGTCCGCTGGCACATCGGTGGCCCAACTCATCATGGTTAACGGTTCGCGGTACGCGTGCGACCGACTCGCGCGCATTTACTATAAAGAGCCCCTTATGTTCTGTGTATACGTATTAAAGCTTGCGCCGTAAGCTTCCGAGAGACTTGCGTCGAATTGTTTCGTGATTTACGCTTCTGAATTATTTCGTTCAATTTTTTTTCTTTATTACTAGGTAGTCTAATTAGTTCGCTTAGGACTTTATATTAGAAAAGGCGATTTATCCATTTATATATAAGGTTGCTAGAGGCAAAGTAATCTAAAAAAAAAACATGATTTTCAATGTGGAGGAAAATAAAAATTATTATATTAACTTCAGCAAAAACGAATTTGTCCTATTGTTTGTGTAAGAATTATGTTAACAATTTTCGGTTAACGTGCTCTTGAAGATTAAGATTTTTAGACTATAAAAATATAAAACTGCAGTTAGGCTACTCTGTCTCTAGCGCAGCTTCTTGTATGGAAAAATAATGCTTGGAAAAGTGTAATCAAAATGTCTATGTGAGAATCCCACGATTAAAATAACGATTTAACTGACAACGCATACCCAATCTACTTGTTATTTTTTTCTAGGAGATGGACGTTATACAATTTAGTTTGTTTATAGAGCATATCTATTTATAGAATTTTCCAAGTTTTCCCGTAAGCTGCGTGAAGTGGGCGGCGCTGGGTGATTAGCACCGCCTCGTCTCGCCATTGGCGCGCGCCGACCACTCTGACGTCACAGCTCGGCGTATGCGGAGCTCTCGATTACATTTATTAATACTATCACGTTGGATGACACAAAATGCAATTTTACTATGAACTTTTATATCAGCGTGGAAGGCAAAATGGCACATCGTCACTTAGCTAAGTTTTTATAAATTATATTGTATTTTTTTAAGCTTGCGCCAGAGACTGAAGACACTGAAACTAAATGATTGCATACAAAAATCAAACCGCGTTAAGTATTCATTTGACCGAGTGGAGCATAGTTTGCTCAGAGTACACTCACAAATTAGCTGCTTTTTATTAAAACTTCCATTTGGTCAATTAGAACGATCTAATTTTGTGCCCAATTCACGCAAGAACCTGCTAATTAAGTTGTCAAGGTGGATGTGAGTACCTCCCCAACTGCCTTCGCGATAAACACATCTAGACGCGTAAGTATATGTAAGTATAACAATATCTTAACTTGCGCATAAAAATATGTATTGAAAGTACCTATTATGCAATGAAAGGAAAGCAATTATATCACGGAATTTTACGCTTAAATGGATTATATTAGGGTAGGTATCCCAGTTTAAACTAATCAAGCACTGCCGCTTGTTTTTATTTAATTGCTTATCACAAATCTTTCTGAATCAAATTTATATTTTAAAATTCGGGAGTTTAGTCCATCTAATACCGATCCTTATATTTACTTCGGCATGCAATTATGTACTATCCTGAAATTATCATACATATTATATCTATACTTCCAAAACGATAACTGATGACGATAATGGAATATTTCTTCTTAATTAATAATTACGATTATTAGTATATACTTATTATATTTACTTCAATGCAAATTCCATTTACATTTCAATCCTACGTCTTATTTATCTGTGGTATATGTCAAATCTTTTATCTGTCACACAACGTCACAAATATCTGTGGCTTATCGAGACGTTACTCAGTCTGTGCCAAAGACAAGCCATTGCCTTTCATATTATTAATCAATTATATTTGACAGAAGTCAACCAATACTACACTGTGATGTGTTTACAAACTATTCAACTTTAGCTTTAATAAACTAAAACTTTATGTAGAAAAATATAAAATAGATATTATAAAAAGCAATAATAATTGTAGAATTACAATAATCAAGATGAAAATTGCAGTAGAAGGATGTGCTCACGGAGAGTTAGACAAAATATACGAATGCGTAGAAAGTTTACAGGAAAGAGAAGGAATAAAAATAGATTTGCTAATTTGCTGTGGTGATTTTCAAGCCGTAAGAAACAATGACGACTTAAGAGCGATGGCTGTCCCTGAAAAATATCATAATATTTGTACTTTTTACAAGTAAGATCAGTCACTTCCCTAAAATGTGCTGTGAACAAAATATAACGTTTAATATTTAATTTACCCTCTTAATAACTTTTAGGTACTATAGTGGGGAAAAAATTGCACCAATCCTCACACTCTTTATTGGAGGAAATCATGAGGCATCTAATTATCTACAAGAATTACCTTTTGGAGGTTGGGTTGCTCCCAACATCTTTTATATTGGGCGAGCTGGTGTTATTCAATTTGGAAACTTACGGTTAGGAGGTAAAACATTTTTTACAATGTTTGTCTGATGAATGAGATAAAGTACACTGAGCCATGAAGAATGCTCTCTTTCTTTTCTCAACCCGTATTGTTTTCATTGTGAAGACAATATAATTCCAGTTAATATTTGTTAAAAATAGTATTCAGTTAAATCATAAATCTAACCATGAGAACTGCAATTTACAGGTTTATCTGGCATATTTAAAAACCATGATTACCTGCAAGGACTCTGGGAGAGTCCTCCATATTCTTCAAATTCATTGCGCTCAGTTTATCACATAAGGTCTTTGGATGTGTTTAGACTGAGTCAGTTGAAAGAAAAAATTCATGTTATGATGTCACATGACTGGCCAAGAGGTATAGCTAATTATGGTGATAAAGATAATTTATTAAGAAGAAAGCCATTTTTAAGGTAAAATACTTTTTATCAAATAAATATGAAAGTAAGCTTTTTAAACACTTTAGATTTTATATGCATTTACAAATATTTCTCTTTCAGGGAGGACATTGAATCTAATCAATTAGGGAGTCCTCCAGCTGAAAAACTTTTAAATGAGTTAAAACCAGAGTACTGGTTTGCAGCTCACTTGCATTGTCAATTTGCTGCATTAGTAAAACATGGTGATGGTACTGAAACCAAATTCTTGGCATTGGATAAATGTCTTCCCAAGAGAAGGCATTTACAAATTCTAGATTTGCCAGCTGAGTATGATGGTGATAAACAATTAAAATATGATATTGAATGGTTGGCTGTTTTGAAAAATACAAACCATTTACTGTCCGTTAAAAATGTTGACTGTCATCTACCTGGTCCTGGTAGCAATGAGAGGTAAGTGAGTTGGATTGAATGAGTGGGCCATCTTAAAACCTTTTTTATTATAGAAAAGATTATAAAATTATATAAAGCTACATGCATTAACGTGTAACCTAACCTAACATTACATGCATACTTAAATTTACTAAAGCACAACAGCCACAAGACTCCGTATAAAATGTTGAACAACCTATAGATTTGGCGTATCATGTAGTTATTAAAGTTTTATTTAATATGACACCCTTACAAAAACTTAATGCATTATTTTTTATTTATAGATATAATTTTACACCAACTAATGAAGAAAAAGATCATGTTGCATCACTTCTGCAAAACTTAGTCATTTCAAATGATTCATTTGTCAGAACTGCACCAATCTATAAGCCCAATACACCAAAACGAGCTCCTTGTGAAGCAATTATGAATCCACAAACAGTTGTGCTGTGTGAGAAACTTAGTATAGATGATCCTTTGCAAGTTGCTTTGGCCAGGATGGGTCGAAGTATGAAGCAACCTGAAGTCTTTGAAACTATGGAGATTGTAGAAAAAACTCCCATCAAATGTTTACCAATGACATTACCTGCACCAGTTACACCGAGTGATTGTGAAGATTTGTCAGAAACAACGTCTGCCTTATCACAAAGTAACAGTTTTTTAACTGAAACCGAAAACACAACTTCAGAGTGTGATACTCCTCCACAAAGTAATAAAAAGGTATTTAAAAGACGCAACTTAGCCATGTATTCTCTTGAAGAAGCAGAAAATGGGAACAATACATCTGACTCTCTTGTAGACTCTGACAGTCCTAGATCTAGTAAGTTTGCTTGTAAATCAAATGCTTTATAGTGGAAATTTAACTAGCTTTTAACACTAAGGGCAACCAATAAATACTTAATATGAAATTAATTTAAGTCCAAATCTCTCTTTTTACCTTCTGTGTACTGTGTTTAATCACACAAAATTAAATGAAATTAATATAATTTGATGATAGATGTCTTTTTTTTTTTCATTAATTGGGAGCAATTTTAGTGCAATTTATATACATAGATAATATTGATCAAATAAAGTTTTAAACACATCATGTCTTTCTTATTGGAAGTCTTCTATCACTATTAATATAAGATGCAAGACAAGACAAGGCAGTCAACCATCTTGAAATTTACCCTCGGCCGCAAAGTGTTCTTTTGTCAAATTTACAGTCCAATATTAACTTGGAATAAAAGACTAATACTACATTTGAAACATCAATTTTATGAGTATTTATTATAACTAGTTTCAGTCAATACTGTACTTAGAGAAATCTAATTTCAAACTTATTCAAATATACATTAACAAGTTTTAATTATAAATAAAAATCACTCCATATGAGTAAGTAAATGTTGTCTCAGTTGTGGCATTGTCTTTGGTTCAAAGTCACACTGATTACACTTAATTGGAATTGACATAAAACTTTTGTGGGCTTCCGGTGACATTTTATCCAATGAACCATCCTCTTTCAATTTATTAAGAACATCTGAAAAATTGGTAAACATTATTACATTGGCTACAATTGAATAATACACAAACATTTAACAGTGTAAATATGGACACTCTTCTAATGAATATTGATAAAAAAAACTTATTTATAATTAGCCTACAACACTGCAGGGAGCTCTTGCAGCCATTGTTTTCTTAATAATGTGAGACCAAACAGCCTAAATACTCAAGGTAAATACTGAATTATAAAAATCACATAGCTATCTAAGCAAAAAGCATAAAATTTTGTATTAGTTTACCTTTATATGGTAGAAAGAATTTAGTTGTAAAACTATTCCAATGAATTCTTGTTTTCAGGCATGGTGAAATCATATCATTACTAATTATGTGCATATGCATTCTATGCATACTTGGCACTGCGTGAAAGCCACAACGCAGCAAGAAATCGGCGTGATCTTTTTGAATCTCTCTAAATATTTGTCCAAACTCTTCAAGTAATGGAATATGGTCTTTATTTAACTTGTATATACTGCTTATTTCTTCACGAGGCAGTACAAGGTAATGGATTTTCGCTTTAGGGTATTTATCCCTTAGAACGACAATACGTTCATTTTCTTTGTAAATACATTTTGGATCTTTCATTGACTCCACCAAACCTAATGACCAGAGTTGCTTGGGTTTAGGTCTAGGAGAAATAGAATCTGAGCCATTTTTAGGACTCCTGCTCATTTTTATCGATCTTGAAAAGAACTGTAATTAATATAGTCACTTTTTAAATGGAATACAATTATCGTATAATCAACATTAATTTCAGCTTTCGTACATTCTTTATTATGTGATATAGATATTTCCTAGGTATATATTTTTATTATCATATGACGGGAGGTTAAAATTTCAATCTAAGACTAACACTAGTATTTAATATCAAAGTTGAATAGAGCAATATTGTTTTTAGTTTATAATTATTAATATAAACCGGGTAATGGGGTATTGACTATTGTAAATTCAAGTAAATTGTCTACATTTGAGAAACTGTCAATGCGCAAAATTGAATTGTCAAACACAGATGAAACAACCCGCAGATGATAATCAGTGTGGTGATATGAAACCTTTTTACTCATTCAGATTTTATCATCGTTTTCTATATATCTATTAATGTCACATCTTTCATTCTTTCAATATTGTAAAATTCTATACCTATTATAACTATGTCGAATTTTGTTTATTAAAACCTTTCTAAAGGTTTTGCCTTATTATTTCAATCAGAAAACACAAACGTTTAATAAATTGCCTGGGTGCAAAATAATAATTATATACAGAATATACGGCGACCAGTGGGGTACATAGAAGTTTAAGGTGACCGACGTGACCCCTTTCGCGTCATCAAGTCCGTGATACAGTTTAGTTTCGGCTTTTAAAATTTTATCACATTTAGTGCACCTCTGGCGGCAAATTGAGAAGCTGTTTAAGAATGACGCTCTTTTAGATAGAAAATAATCAGATGAATTACCTAAACGAATTACATTACGTGAATGATAAAACGTCTAATTAGTAAAGCAGAACCATAAATTTGCGTTCCTTAATATGGTGCTTCCCTTAAGCACCACATTAAGGATCACACCAAATTTTCAGAAGTAAGTTATTATTGGTTGTAAATTTTTCCAGAATCTAAAAGACGGAACGAAGATTGGAGAAGTAGAGAGGTGTCTTTAGCACAAAAATGACATCCATCGCTTAGAAAATATTGCCAATTGATCAATTATTGTACCGGGTAGCAAAAAATACATACATTTATTTAGGTTTAATCAAAAAAAATTTCAAATCAGAAACTGTTGACGTGTCATTCTTAAAAAGTTTCACAATTTCGACACATGAGGCGCTAGTTAGAACCTATACCTCACCAATAATATTATTATCGTATAATTTATTGATTTATGAGTTTACTTAAAATAAGGAGGACACAAAAATACATAAATTAAAAATAAATATATATTTAAAATTTATTTAATTAGATACAACCTTACAACTGAATTCGTTCTTAAATTTAACTTAATATCAAAACTATAAGTAGGTCTTATTCTAATTATTGTCATGACTGAAAAAGTAGAAATATTCTTTATTTTTCAGTCATAAGAAAAATAAATAGTTTATATCTTAAATTTAAAATAACCTATTTAACACAGCAAATTTGCTGAATCAATAATATATATTAGTATTCCTACTTTTTTTCATAGATCGATTAATTCGTAACAATTTATTACTTTACTTTGTAGGGTAACCTGTTGTTATTTTTAAATGTTTTAATTTATTTGTGCAGTATTAGACATATAAGTATATTATATTATGAATTCTTCGTTATTGTACGGTGGGTCGTCCTGTATACCCCGACTCGGGAATGGAATGATGAGCCAGATCACGTAATATCTGCTCGAATCCCTTGCCACGAGACGTGTGTAAACTGTTGTTTTTCATTATAGTAGAATTTAATTTCGTTGCCAAGTAACACATCTGTAAAAGTAAATACACGTTGAAACACGAAAGGACGTTGGAACAGTTGGTGTGGGTATCAACAAAAGTGTATTGCAAACTATAATAACATACATGATTTAATATTTTTTGAGTTACTTGTTAGAATAATTATGATAGCAAGGTATTCCTAATAATCAACGGGACGTGGGTTCGATTTCCCTCGGTCGAAGATTTTTTTAAATCAATTATTTATCTAAATCTGTCTGACTTCACCACGTAATTATTTAATAGAAATATCGAAAGTTATCTGGCCTAGTAAATAATTTTACAATAGATGAAAGAAATGCCCCAAACGTTTTTTGTCATTACATTAATCAGCTTAACAATAATTTTACCAAATGAAACGTTGCCATAAAAAAATTGACAATCGTTAGTCGTCAAAGTGAAAAATTGGCGAAACGTTGGTTAGCAAGCGATAATCGGCTAAACAATTATCGGTGAAATGGCAGGATCCCGTTTTATTTAAATGTGCATTACTCGCGTAAACCACAGACAATATATATTACAGTTAACACTTACTAATAAGGCTGACATAAATAATAAGGTTCCAAGCGCAACAGCAATCATCATGGATGTGGCGCAGGTGGCTTCTATTGGTGTTCTGTGGAAGAGCTCTCCTGGCATCACAACCGTATATTCCAGGTTCTCCTTGAACCTGGTGAAAGGTGTGCTACCGTTGTCTGCCACCAGGGAAGCGCTAGTAGCGTTCTGGTCTGTTATCGCTGGTAAGGATCTTTTTCTTCGACCGTGACCTGTTAGTACCAAATTTATTAAAATATTATAAAAGTATATTTATTGAAGATCCCCTACATCCGGTAGTAACTATGTATGGATAAAAAAGGCTTTACTATGTTTTTAAAATCGAATTATATTATGTTTAAACCCCAGGATTCTCTCTTTTCCATGTCCTCAAAAGTTACTTAATGGAATAACATAAAAAACATTATAAAGTCTTTATAAACTGTATACCTAATTTGTACACGTCTTTTATGGGATTTAATTTAAGAAATACTAAAAAACAACGTTTTAACAAACACATTTTGCTTATATGTTATATGGCTAGGGTGTTCCACCTCTCATCAAGTGAACTATCTAGTTGTCTGTCCTCTATCATAAAAAATGGTATCTTGTTGTATTTTACCGGACGGCTCGTACAAATCAAGACAGTAATCTGGCTGGCAATCAGCTGGCTCCATGCACGCCTTGATCTGCGAGTGTATCCAGAGAGTAGATCGTTCTTTCATAGAAGCAAGCAGGAAGGCCTCAAAGTCCAGAAACACTTCGTTGTGCCGCTCGCGGTACCGTGCTGGTTGATGAGGAATAATTGACGCGAAGTCACGATTTCGACATCTTGAAAACAAATGCTTATCTTTTGAAAACTTTAATAGTTTTCACATGTTATTGCAAATGATGGCATTATCTAAATCGATTTTAGAGTTTTTTTAAATTGCGGGACAAAGCTAAAATAATAGGTCGACATCGCAACTTGTATATCCTAAAAGTCTACAGCCCTTCGTTTTTTTTTCAACGTATCGATACATGCACCTCTCGCATAATATAATTTCCACCTTAACAATTATATTAATATTGCCCAATCTATAATATAAATTGCCAAATCTTATCAGAGATTATCTTACCAATTTTTAGAAACGCGAGCTTATAAGAAACATTTTATGGTAATACAATAATCTTACCCATCTTTAACTAAGAGAACAGCGCCAGCAGCATGTGGTCGGTCTGGATCTGGAGATACGGCGACTTCGAGCAATTTGATGTGTCTCCAGGCTGAGTCAGGGTTTATGCGCGCGCGCAGTTGTAACTTTGTCCCTATAGGCACCGCCTGTAAATTTCGGCTTTTGAATAAAACACCTGACAGGTAATGCATCATAAAGCTTATAATTATAATGTTACATGTATCAATTATATTTGATACTATCGATGATATATTTGAATAATTATATGTCATTCTTTTTCGCGCTGTTCGGCCGACGAGAGCGAGAAGAGGTTCACGACGTTTCGCTATCACGAGCGGACGGAGATGTTAGGTCCTCGATTGCTCGAAGAGTTAATGCTGAGCGATGGCCATGAAACCCTTACACAATTTGTTTCTATAATTGTTATATTCTCTTGTTAATAATGCACAGAATGCCCTATAAAGAAAAAATAAGGTCATAACTAATGTGTTTAAAAATTTATAACACGGTTGAAATCCTGCTAAATATTTTTTTTCAATCGACAATATTTGTTACATTAAATATGCAATAATATAAGCGTTAAGAGAATTAAAACACCACCGTCACGTACAGTATTTACCTGATCAACAGGCATGTCCACTGAGTGATTTGAATGACGAGAGACCGGCGGAGCCTCCTTGTACAACGCTACTTCGTACTCCAGTCGCCCTGGGGTCTCTTCCACGACACCTGATACCCGAGCACCGTGCGGACTAGACAAGAAAACATTACTGCATCATGATAAAGACGGAAGGAAGATTATAGACTTTCAAATAAAATACTAAATCTTGAGGTTTAAAATGCAAAATATATATAAGTCCGACATTTCGGATGCTTTCCAGTCAGTCTCGGTGGTAATATATTTTGCGTTTTAAACCATTGTAGTGATTTATTAGTCTTTGACTTTGTAAAATAATATGTATAACAAATTTCATAAATAATAGCTTATTTTTCTTTTATACTAAAATATAAATTTTAGAGTCGAAATCTACAACTCGTCAACACAATCGGCACATAACTACTTACAAGCTACCGGCAAAACCTGCTGCTTTGTTCTCGATGATAGTCGGCTCTGGGGGCTTGCACATGATGATCAGCTCTTGGTCTGATTGCATCACCACACCTGGAAACTGCGGGAACCAGACGCGAACATGCACGAAGCCCTACAACATAAAGGCAGGATTTTCTTGTGTGATCTTTTTCTTTTTTGATAGAGAAGGAAAGACAAAGATGAGATTCACTAGAGTAGGTGATATACTCCAGTCAAATAACAAGATGTGCTGCCGTCCTATTTAGTGTTGCCCAAACGCAAGAACAAGACGAGACTTAGCCAGTCTTGGTCTTGGTCTTGCGCTCCCAGTCTTGGTCTTGGTCTTGGTCTTGCAGCAAGAGTCTTGCAAGTCTTGCAAGTCTTGCAATTACCTATTAGTCTATTACTATTTATTAAAGTTTACTTTAAATCCTAGAAAAACGTATTAGAATTGGAACATTGTGAGCTTGAATGAATATAGCCATAGTAAAGATCAAGCAGATTAATAAATAACTGAAGATTTGATAAGAAATTCGAAAAATCAACTGACCTATATGTCGTTTTTCATGGAAGTAACTGTTTCTTAATAAACATTTATGATTTATAAGCTTACATTTGCTAAAACTCTCGTTACTCGGACTAGAATAATTTGAATCTTCGTCACTCATATTAAATTGGACACGTGATACGTTTTTAGAAAACAACGAGAATTAGTAAAAACAATTATTAAGTTAGACTCGAAGCACAGCTCAATTGGAAATGACTGGAATTAAAATAATTCCTTTGTTTATAGTACGTTTCCTTGCTTTCTACCGCGCCTCGCCACGTGCCGGCTCTATGATAACGATGCCGCCGCAAATCAAACAATAATATAAAGCGTGTAAAAAAATTCGAAATTATTTTGCATGAGTATACCTACGCCCTATGGCGGCAATCAAATAGTGTCAAATGATATGATTTCGGCGTGGCGGCAGCGATTGTTTTAGATTTCAAAAGAAGCCGCCGGTGCGTGTATCATAACCATGTACTTCCGAAAAAAAGTAAGTACAAAACCTTTGATGCCGCATTATCAAAGTGCCGATGGTTAAAACATAACTATGCATGCTCAGTTTGACTCAGTTTGATTTTAATAATTTTTTTATTCGCTATGTTTATGGCATTAGTCGTCATGCGCATAGGTCCAGTTTTTCATATTCTTTGATACAGTTTTTTGCGTCTCATAGAATTCCTAAGCGTACCTACCTATACACCGAACTGTTACACCTAACTACTCAGTAAAATAGGGCTAAGTCCTAGCTGCAAGACGCAAGAGTCTTGCAGGCTATGTCTTGTTCTTGCTCAAGTCTTGCACGGTCAGTCTTGGTCTTGGTCTTGCTAAAAATACGCGGTCTTGTTCTTGGTCTTGCAAAAACGCAAGAACAAGACCAAGACTGCAAGACCAAGACTGAATTTGGGCAACACTAGTCCTATTTTGGCGTTGGATATTCGAAATTCTACAGACTGAATCCGAAACGCGATTAAAATTCACGGCTTGATCATCTGTGGACAGTGGGTGGTCCGGACGGAATTTCGATATTCCTACCATCCATTTAGATCCACATTTCCAGAAGTCCAAAATGTCATTATAATATAATAAGAAAGAAGTTGTTTGGTGAGCGTCGAACCCACGACCCGTTGATTATTAGCCATACACAGCTACCCTTATTTATACCGTAAGACGAATATTTAAATAAAACACTTTAACGGTTTAAAACGCGATATATTAGTTAAACTTATTTGACGGGGAGACCCGTGACCAGGGCTGCTGCAAAGCATCCGAAACGTCGGGCCGAAGTTAAAAAAAAATTCAAATAAGTTTAACTAATATTATTAATAGTTAAAGTGTTTTATTTAAATGTGTACTACTCGCATAAACTATAGACAGTACGTAAGACGAATAGTTAAGCCTGGGTTTGCTTGCATTATGGCCCAATTCTTTGCAAGGTGAAAGTCGTAACATTTATGTCAGCAAGTCTAAGGTAAACTGCGCTAAGTGATTATGCAGTATTACAGTGTTTAGTGCACTACACGTGTCACCCAGATTCAGTTACCGGTCCACATAGGCTTAATAATAGAGTATCAGACATCAAGTTGTCTCCATACTGTTATTGTAACGGCATTGCACGATGATACAACACCACTTGGCGATGAGACTTAAGAAGATAGTAAACAAGTTCAAAAATATATCTTATGCATTCAATGATCAGTAAAAACACTGTGGAAATACACAGAATATTGATAAGTTTTACATAAATTAAACTACGATTTCAACTATTTCAAAAAAGTATAATAAGCAGTGTTTATATTAATTAAGGATATGTTAAACACGGGGAGTCTCCCCATGACCACGGCTGCTGCAAAGCATCATTAAAATAATTTTCAAATAAGTTTAACTAATATATATCGCGTTTTAAACCGTTAGAGGTTTTTATTTAAATGTGTACTACTCGCGTAAACTACAGACAGTATATAATGTCACCCTTATTTATCTTAATTAAAACACTTTCAATGGTTTAAAACGTAAAAGGTGTTAGTTAACTTAATTACTATTTACGTTAACTATGACCCGACGTTTCACGAGGTCACGTGGTCACGACGGGACTTAAGATGGAGGTTATCCTTAATGTCAAAGTAAATCTGTTACACCAGCGCCATCTGTTGCGTCATAATTAGTATTTAATGAGGCGCGTTTGAAATCGTTAAAATTGTTTTTTTTAAGCTGTACTACTCGCGTAAACTACAGATAGTACATAATTTAAGTAATTTAATATTAAACACTCACATTTCGTTTCAGTACGCCGCATTTTGTAAAATCCGCGATGCGTAGTCTATACAGCAGACCAGTAGGATCTTCCGCCTCAGGTCGGATCTGGCACACAGGATCTGCTACCGGGTCTGTCGTTCTGTCATCAGCGAATAGAGGTGCTCCGCGGAAGCCTTCTGGTTTTCGCAATAGCGCTGATACGGAATCTCGAATTCCAGTACCGGCGCTCGCGAATGTACACTGAATGTCCGTTACTAAAATCAAACAATAATAATTACTATGTATGTATATTTCATAATAGAAGCTATTTTAATCTATGGGACAATGAAAGGAGTTCGTGCTGTTGCACAAAAATACAATGGTAATAAATGTACCTATGGAGGGACACCACTCAGCTTTTGTTGTATCTGGAAGTAGGCACAACGCCGATGTTTCCGAAGTTTTCAATTTTATAAGTAAATCCCTTATTGGTATGTTTATGCAAAAACATCTCGAAGTATCTTTTTTTTTATGAGCAATTACTCGCTTATTGTTATTAGTAATTTTTGGCATAAAATTTGTTCATATTCTTTATAAATTACGCTGTACCTACGACGTCGTCCGTCCCGTGTCTGCATCTTAAACCATAACATATAGGTACTGTCTACCTCGTATAGGAACTCCTGGTTCAAATGCCTGCGAACTCAACCAAAACGCCGTGTTCAAAAATACTTGTTCTCCTTCTATCCTTTTCGACCCTAAACCCGGCCTATTTAAAAGAAAACTCTTCCTTTAAGCACATAATTTGAATCTTCGCTCGATTCAACTTATTAAGTCCTGCCATAAGCTTCCTTCTTAATCTTCACTATTAAAGCCATAATCTCTGGAACTCTCTTCCTAGAAAAGAAAAGCTCAATCTCTCCTACTTTTAAAGTTTCAGTTACCAAATTTTATCTTTCCAGCTGTTAATTGCCTTTCTTTTTCACGATCCTTTCTACATCACCTACCTAAGTCTTTTATTTTATTTTTTGTTTTTCCCTTCACTTCAGGTTGCCTGGAAGGATCGCTGTTAGCGAAAGGCCGCCTTTAGAACTAGTACGGTTGTTGAAATCTGTGGTGTGTAATAATATAGTACTTCTTTAAATGATCTAAAAAAAAATTTGTAGTATATCTATCTTTTAAGATTAACTCGCAAAAACGAAGCGACGGGACGCGGATGACGTCGTGGGTAACAGAAATTATAATTTAGAAAGCTCAGTAGGTTTTTCCAAAAAGAAAATAATCTTATGCCAAAATAACTATTCTACGAGGACGAACTCGCTAACACAGCTAGTATAAGTATCGATAACGAGATCAAGTCCATTGTACGCGATCTTTAATAAGTAAATTGCTTGACCTTACCATCATAGTCCTGACAGAAAACGCTCCCAACCTGAAACAAAGAGCATTCAAGTTATAAATGCTATAGGAAGGAGATGAAGCAACAACACATTGTCTTACTATTAGCATAATATATTGTGCGTGTTAATTGATTAACTTGAGGAATACCACACTGCAGATTAAATCTCGTTTTTGTATGTATTAATCATGGATGGACCGTTAAATTTACGCCACGTACATTGTAGATCTACTACGTATTATTAAAACGTAAAATAAACGCTTATTGCTTACACCTATCCACTTCATACGCCTTTTTGCCTGCAAGAGATGGCTGCTTAGCAGTAAGGCCGCCTTTTATTTATTTAGTACGTAAGTTTTATTGCATTTTTTTTTGTTTTGTTTGTATAATTTGATCATTTAATAACTGAGTTTTTAAATAATTTACTTCAGAGAGTAGAGTTTCACGTCGTTAAAATTATTTTATGTATATTAAAAAAAAACAATCCTTAAATAAACGGATGAAAACGCGAAATGTAAATGTTACTAAGTTTTTTAAATGCTTTAGCAGATTTTAACGAGAAAACACATTCGTTTTATATGCGTATTTTTTGGTGTACCGCAAATTTTGAAACAATTTGAGCCAGTCCAAATTCTTTCCACGAAACATCAGTTCACTGTTAGTATTGTGTTTCATTGTAATCCTGCGCTTCGTGTTAACTTGTGATTAAATGTTTGCAAATTAATACTCAGACAAGAAACGGTTCTTCCTAAAACTGTGTTACTCTGCTTATTCAGCGTGAAGGGGTCAGAAAACACGGCTAATTTGCAAATTGTAAGCGAAATGAGGTAGCATACTATCTGTGAATACTGAAATATTATATTAATTTCTATAAGTTCTTAGTGAATGATATTACTAAACACACACAACACAACAACAAAGAACAACAACAACACAACAGTTCGAACAATTTCTATTATAACAGATGTACCGTCGGTCTATGTTGGCTTTTTTATTTATTCGTTTGTTTGTACTTAAAGCATTGACAGCAAAAGCCAAAACATGCAGTATGGGAAACTAGGAATCTTATCTAAGAAATACAATAACAAGAAACACAATTTACATCAAACTGCTTTCCGCTAAGAAAATATTTAACAATCGAATAGTGCCTTGGGTATTCGTAACTAATAAACAGGATTTACTAAAAAATACCAAACAAATAACTGTAAACTAACAGACTACCTAATAGTGGTTATATCTATAACTACTTACCTTTCAGTATCTTAATCACTTTAAATTATGTATGCGAACATTTTTTTTTACTTTACTATTTTCATTTTTCTCAAAATAGACAAATTTATAAGTAAAACACGTGTAATATATTATTTAACCTATTTTTATTTAGCTTTAGCAGCCGTGGTCACGCGGAATACCTGCTGCAAAGCATCTGAAACGTCGGGCCATAGAAAAATAAGTTGAGTGATATATTTCGTGTTTTAAACCTTTAAAAGTGTTTATTTGCGTAACTATAGACAAAATACAAAATTAACTTACGTATTGTTACTGAAAGCATTTAGAATAAGTAGCTAATGATATTTAAGCTTGACTGTTAGAAAAAAACTACTTACTAAAGTTGTCAAGATACGGTGTGCAATGATAGGCACTTTACGGTTCAAATGTCAATAATCAATTCGTTATAAGACCGTTCAAAATTATCACCTAATTTAGCACAGCCTAAAGGAAGTATTGTAAAACTTTTAAATTAGTTAATGTTGTTTTAAATGATAACGGATATGTTTTAAACAAGATTTTGTTTTATAATAAAAACAAGAGATGTTAGCGAAACGTCGGGTCGAAGTTAAAATATCGCGTTTTAAACCGTTAAAGTGTTTTATTTAAAAGAGATATTAGCCTTAACTTATTGAGCAATACCTATTAGCTTTTTAAGTTTGAGTGTCTGAACCACATGACATCACGCTTGGCGTTGTGTATCTTGCAGGTTCATTCATTGCTGATTAAGACCATCAGGTATTACGTAAAATCCCGTTTCCCCCGTGGGGTGCCCCATGCTAACACATTTTTGTGCCCGTTTCACCATGACTTTAATGAACAGGCATGTACTTATCAGACTTCTATGCTCTGCAAGACGGAAAAATCTATTATTTCCCCGGGATTCGAACCCCGGACCTCTCGAGCTTAAAGCAATGCTAAGCAACACGTTTAACCACAAAGGTAAATAGGCAAGATCAAGTGTTACCCGCACAAAACTTGTAAAAAACATTCATAATATAGATAAAAAAGCTTAACACAGACTTTTTATCTCGACCATTATAACCTATGTGTAGATAATTAAATTACTAAAATAATTAGAGGTGTTTTTTATTTCCTTGTTTTTGTAGCTGGCAATCCCACGATAGTTACACGTTTCCCAAGCTATTTAGTGCAATAATTGTCGTTTAAACGCTATAATCATATCTTGTCAAAGTAAATTATTTTTTATTGCAATTACCACGCATTTCGACTGTGTTAGTTGTGAAAAGTTATGTCTTATTTCTTTGAATAATGTGTGTATGATTTGAAATGACGTGAAATATGATGATTAAATGCACTTTAACTAATTGGTTACTGTAAACCTTTTTTTGCTAAGTGGTTGTTTTTAGTTTTTTTGAGGATTTTTATGACTAATTTATAATAACTATTATAGAAGCTACTCCGACTTAAATTTCGTTTGTTTATGGAAACAGGTTTAGTGTTATTGTCTATAGAAGAGAAGAGCATGGAGGCTTACCCCTTAGAAGAAGAGTTATATTAACTAACCTTTAAAACTCAATAACAATAAAAACTTTTTTCGTCTGGCTCGTGGCATCGTTTTTGTATAGGTTAAATAGATTCTTCAATACTGTCTGTAGTTTACGCGAGTAGTACACATTTAAATAAAACACTTTAACGATTTAAAACGCGATGCAGCAGTCGTGGTCATCGAAACGTCGGGCCGCAGTTAAAAATAATTTTCAAATAAGTTTAAGGTGTCTATATCGCTTTTTAAACCGTTAAAGTGTTTTATTTAAATGTGTACTACTCGCGTAAACTACAGACAATATTTGAAAATCTATTTAACCTATACAAAAGGATTCCACAAGCCAGACGCAAATTACAGCAACGTTTCTTGCCATTTCTCTTACCAAGTGAGACAGTTTAAATTTATTTGTATTGACAGTCACGAGATCGATTTTAAATTTTATTGAATCTGAATAAAATTCTAATGATAATTAATTAAAATATTATTATTTCAAACGTTTTTATATAGAGCCACTAAGTAGGATGCAATGTATCGCAAAGTAATGATGGAGAATTTGTCTGTTATACCGTTATTAAAATAGCTATGTGATCATTGTATAGGGGTTATGAGGAGGAGAACAGTTGTGATTTTCTGCAACGTCATTACCTCAAATACATAGTAGGCGCGTGCGCATGTTAATACGCGGGCATTCTACAGACGATGCTAAATCACGTCGTGAAAGCAACTTAACTAGGTATGAAAAGAGATTTCTTATCTCTTTATTTAAAACAATACTGGCAGTGTATCAAAAATATTGTTATTTACAATTTATAAGTAAAATTTACCTTTAACTTTATATATATATATATATATATAACTATATCTTGCATTGTTACCGTTATAAAAATGAACACATACCTAGATAAAAGAACAGAATTGGTGCTCTCTTAGAAAATAACGTACCTTTAACGTTCAAACAATATTGAGACATTTATAGAATATTGAGTTTTATTATACACAATAAAAAGAAATAATTATATTTAACTTACATTTCAAAGAGAGCTCCATAAAACTAAAGTGTTGCTATTTCAACAAACTACATTCAATCGACTTTAACTCTACCAAGTTTAAATTACTTTAACGAATAAAATATTTTAAGTATATAACATTCATTTTCAACAAAAGAGCATAACTTACGTTTTATTAATCATTTCATCATTTATATCGTAGCTTATGTCTATTGCATAGGAAAAATGCAATATATATGCGCACACGTCATTAGTACTACATGCTCGATCAGTTTACGCATTGATGACGATTCATATCCACAATCCACTTATATAACGAAGTCAGTGATCTTTACGCGGTAAGCACATGCGGAATTGATGTTTTTGATCTATAGATCTCCAATGGAAAAAATCTATAACAATTTCAACGCAAAGCACTCTAATTTTCTTCTTGTCATGAGAAAAATTCATTGTGTAATCGTTTCCGAAAAATTGTATCAATCAAAGCAGTGTTTAAATTTTTAAATATTAAGTTAAATAATTCCATAGTTACAATAATAGAATACTCGAATTTATAAATACAACATTTATTTTAATTTTAAATGTATGTAGAGGTGACACTGTACATATACGGTACAGACGATACTGTGTGGAGTTTTTATTTTATATGGGAAATATTCAATAAATAATACATATATTATGTGAACCAAGAACTACAAGGACTAACATACTTAATTTTAAAAGATTAAATCAATATTGAAGTTTCTCACTTATTAGAATTACTTTAGCTACTTATTTATTTATATAATTATAGTTCTAATGGTCCATATGTCCGGTTTGAAAACGAATTATTACAAATAAACAGCTTTTAGTAATTAAATACAGAAATGATTTCTCACCAATCAAATAAGGCAAGAAGAGTGCTTTTTGTTGCATACTGTTAGAAAAACATTACGACGCTCCCAAGTTGGGCTTATAAGAATTGCTTTTATTCGCCTAACGCAATCTTCGGAGCGTGAAATCTAATAACTTAAATGCTTTCAATCACGTGTTCGCAGCGCCGAAGTTCATTTGAACATTTTACAGTTGTTCATTTAATTTGTCGGAGCCAAAACGCGCCACAGATTCACCGAATACCGGAAAAAAGTTATTAATGAACGCGGTAAAACGCTCTACATTATCTGTGCTATATCTTTAACTGTCAAGATACGTTTAACTGTATTTAAATTTTAATTTTTTGTTGACTTTCATTAATTATTTACTTACGCTGCGAATTATGAGTATGCTAATTTGCACTAAAGCTTTCCCTTTTGCGGTTAAACTCAAACGCATCTCATTAGATCTTTCATATGCGCAAGATTAATGATATTCCGACTCGCGTAAGTAGGTAATGAACTTGATATTGCTGTACATTATCTAGGTAGATCTTAAGTTTATCGAGATTGGAATGTAGGTTTACATTTTGACCGAGTTTTAAATATTTCTGAACGAGCGCTCTACATCAATGGTGTAACACATTTTCGGGTCGGGCATAGAATGATCGTCAAATCAACGAATGGAACGGATACACAAAAGTATCTCCTCCTTCCGTGCTTCCATATTTAACTTTAAACAATGAAATGTCGTTGAAATAAAATAAATACTTAAAAATATACTGTCTATTAAAAACAGCCGAGTTAATATTCACAATACATTTTGAATCTTAACAAGTACCTACAAGTTTTCTATACTAAAGAACTTCCTAGATAATTGATTATGTAGTCTCATTAATAATTTTTATCCAGTCAGTATTTCTTGTAATCTTTATTTAATGGGCTTTAACCTTACTAGATTAGTTATAATCTAGATAAGACCTAAAATGTACAAATTAACGAAAATTGATACTTAAATAAAACACTTTAACTAATATATCGCATTTTCAACCGTTAAAGTGTTTTATTTAAATGTGTACTACTCGCGTAACCTATAGACAGTATTTAAAAATTGATATTTTACTATTCTACATATTGGAATTATAAGAAACTCCTAGCGTCCCCCAAAGATGGTAAAGTCAATTATATATTTTTATAAATAGGTATACGTTCTTCACTATACGTATGAATTATAATTTGGGAACTCACCAATAAGATAAGCACGAGAGCGCAGCCTCCGGCGCTCGTCATGCTTGCGGTCTGCCACACTCGAGCGCGGAGCCAACCGTTACTACTATCTGCCCCGATTACCCTACGACGCTATGAAAAAACAAACAAAATCTGTTCTCTCAAAAATAAACAGCCACTAAACAACACTGCCACAAGCGAAGCGCCGCGCACGTAACTTTTGAAAGTAGCCGCGTGATGCGCCTGCGACGTCTGAAGCCGGGACTGCACCGTGATATGGTCCGCTCGCTTGACGAACAGTTATCAGCCGACGGGGAGGGCACCACCTGTACCCTACCGTTCTCACGACACGATCACTGATTCGCTTCGCAATTCGACAATCTCATGATCTACATTATTGATTGGCGTAGGATTTGAGGGAAGTAGGTTCGAGTTCAGTGCCGTGACATTCGCATGGAGAAATGAATGGTATGACATGGAAAAGAATGACGGCAACGGGTCATCGGTGCGTCTTGGCGATGGAGCGATAAGATAACTAAGTACACCATTTGTCCGAACTCAGTGCCTATCGATTTGATCCGTAGGTAATTATAGCCAGTCGACGGTAGAAAGTCAATCAAGTACAGATGAATACTTATAGATAAACTTGTGATTCACTTACCTAAATACTTTAATGTTACAACCGTTCATTGTTTACTTCAGCACTTTTACTTCGTAGTAAACGATATGAACGTTCATTCTCACTTTAATAAAGAATAGAAGTTAGACAAGAGAGTTAAAGAAAGAAGATGAGAGTTAAAGACTCCAACCATATACCTAACATCTAACAAGATGCGACAACCTATTTTAACTCAGTATGTAAGAGAAATCTGTCTTTTGTTTTCGCGAGTAGTACACATTTAAATAAAACAGCGTTTAACGGTTTAAGGAGACTGCTGCAAAGCATCCGAAACATCGGGCCGAAGTTAAAAATCATTTTAAAATAAGTTTAACTAATATATCGCGTTTTAAACTGTATAATCAACAATCTACATACTAATAGAATCGCGATTAGAATTTTACGGCTTTTTGTAGCGTATTTTTTTTGTATTTTAAAAATATTCCTACCACCCATTCAATACCAAGACTTTCAGACAAAATCCAATTAAAATATTTTAGAAAATTATAATATTATGAACTTCTTGCGAACATGTTAGACGTAGTGGGGATCGAACTCATGAACAATGCAAACATTAGATTTTGTCGATTGTTTATCGTTAAGCGAGTTATCTATTAATGCTGAAACTGTATGTCCTTGTAATCCTAATAAGTCACAATCAATTTTATTAGTTTTTTTTACAAAATAAGTGACAAAAACTTCACAATAAAATCTCTTCTTTTGTTCATATCTGCGGGTGAGTTTTACGCGAGCTTTTAACTAATATTTGTGAGAACCTCTTCATTAGTCGAAAGAAATAGTCGCTTCCTTATCCACTGAAACTATGATATGCCTATGACTTCCTAAGATCTGTTAAAGAGTATGGACACAGGTGACTGCTTGGAAGTAGCGAACCATGACCATGACCGCTGGCACGCCCTTTTTTACTTGAGCCGTACACTCTTATGATGCATCGTCAACAGTACAATATGCATAACGGTTTGATTAATACATCGGTAACAATGTTTATGTACCTAATACTATATATTGTTTGCTTAACTAATTATTTCTTATATTAAAACTAAATAATTAAAACTGAAATCCATGTTAGATACTGTACTTAAGTACTGTAGTTTACGTGAGTAGCACACATTTCAATAAAACTTTAACGGTTTAAAACGCGAATATATATTAGTTAAACTTATTTGAAAACTAAAAAAACCACAGGCATCACAGGTAGCCAAGCACACGGGCAATCTCCCCATTACCACGGCTGAGGCCGAAACCTGAAAAATATATTTCGCATTTTTAACCGTTAAATTGTTTTATTTAAATGAACTTCGTCTTGTTACTCAAAATTGTAAGGCAATGTTGTTAACTACTTAACTACTACTGAACACAGGTTTGAGAATCGCGCGAAAGTAAATGTGCGTCTATTAACCTAATATTCATGTCAAATAAATCCTCTATTTCATAGCGTCATTGTGGCTTATAGGCGAGCTGTAAATACGTGTACCTGTTCAAGTATGTGTGTCGTTCGTTCTGAACGAACTGAAGCAAAGGAACCAGATCTTCAAGTAGGCGAGACCGAATGATTCATTGTGTGCAAAGTAATTCGTTCGTTCAATAGATGTTTTATCAATGTGATGGAAACCGATTTGAGTGAGAATGAGAGATCGGAAAACGAATGATTCACACCCAATCATTCGCTCGAACGAGTCAAACGAATCAGAATTTGTTTGTGGGTCATAATAGGCAATTTGACAATGCGAAAAATAATAATTGATTTCAATATAAAAAAGCGCAAACAAAAATTAATTTTTTCAAACGTTCGTCACGTGATTGGTCGGGTTTATGATGACGTCACTTGCTTATAAATAGTTGGATTTTTAATTTGGTATATTTCAGTAAATATGTATCAGAATTTAAAAATAGTACGGGGGTTCCTTAACACAAATAATATAAAGTACATTGGAAGAATCAGTCGAATAGCTCATTCGGTTCTTTGCTTAAACGACACTTGCTTATAAACTGAGCAGCTTTCGCCGCGCAGCTTTTCTTGAGAGACAAAAACAATTTGCGAGAGCAAACGAAAATTACAGCTTAGCTAGACTCAGTTAGTCGGGCAAATGGTCGGCAGCTTGCAATGAGGTCACTATAATATCTCTCTAATGACACTTTGACAGCAGGACGTAGACTGGAATTTGTGTAATCTGCGAGTTTGTGCTGCGATTAACAGTACGTGTGATCACTCAATAGCATTCAACGCGGCCTAATATAAAAGAAATTCAACTTAGCTGTGTAGTTTACGCGAGTAGTACACATTTAAATAAAACACTTTAACGGTTTAAAACGCAATCTATATTATTTGAAAATCAAATATAAATTGAAAGAATGTTTGACTCGTCCATGACTTGAACCGGCATCGTCAGCGTCCGTGCTGTTGATTTGACGCTGCCTATATTATAATTTAAAAATCGGTTTTTAAATTATATAGTGCCATCATGTGCAATAACGTGTGAAAAATATTAAAGTTTCAAACGAGTTAAACTTATTTGAAAGTTATTTTAACTACGGCTCGACGTTTCTGATGTTTTGCAACAGCCGTGGTAACGGGAACCGGCTGCACGTCGGGTCGTAGTTAAAATAGTTTTCGAATAAGTTTAACTACTATATCGCGTTTCAAACGGTACGGTGTTTTATTTAAATATACTTGCTTTATTCGTTTAAATTTCCAACATTTTAAAAAGTTTCGTAATCATATTTCCAATAGAAAGTTACTTGTTGATAAAACCACCATACTATTACTTTGTTGCTTAATAGTTCACATCATTAAAATACACTTCTATGGATTTTGGAAAGCATGTAGGTATATAAAGGAATTGTTTTTTTCCAGTATGGATCTTTTAATTATGTTTTCAGGCTGTACCACCGAATGAGCTGATTGAGGAAGTTTCTAGTGATTGAATAGTGTCTCGTTAAAGGAACTTACTTTAATTTAAAATGATATAAGTTACAATTAGTAATGTGTTGCTTTAAGTTTGAAGAGCGAAAAATCTATTTGTAAAACCTCCTTCAATTGTTTTCATGGCTCAATTTTTGGTAGTTTTAGGAAATATTTTAAACATAATGTCTGCAATTCACTGGTGTTTTTTTTTATGATAGACGAGAACGGACAGTGGGTTTCGCTTGATGGTAGATGCAAAACTCCAGCTATATAACATCTAAACAAGATGCGCTGATCCGTTTTGGCTTTATATCCGGAATTATATACAATAATTATATATCCGGAAATCCACACACTAAACCAAAACGGAATTAAACTTGATGGCTTTTTCATTGGACGGTGATTCTTGACCCCGATGGAATTTCGATTATCCCATTCGCTTAATATTCAGATTTCCAGACGAAGTCCAACATACAGAAAATTTTACTAAAAACTAATTGGACCCGTTGATTATTAGCCATACGTTGTTATGATTACACCAACGATCCTGTCAAACTTTTATCTGTATATATTTATTTTGGGGGATAGATTATAGCTCTAGCGATACACAGTAACTGGGGTTGATATTATTTCGTTCTCGTTTCTAACGCTGGTACTTGCATACTAATGGGGGCTGCAAACGCATCGCGGATATGTATACTGCATTTTACATTATAAATAAATCGCTCGGTCTTCATTGCTTTGAATCGTAAAGCAATTGAAAGCATCTGGAGAGCGCGTGCCGAGCATTGTGTTTTTGCGTCCATCAACGCGCGTCGAATTCTCTGATTGATGGACCTTCCGCGTGTTGGAATGACATCATGACTATATGGCGGCGCATGCGCTGAAATCGATATAAACAGTAAAATGCCGGCCCGTTACACAATTGCCGGTCTTATAATGGCTGTTAAAATTGTCTGTTCTTTCGTTACATTATTCTTATCGAAAATGCATTTTTTAAGTTATAAATTTCAATCAATGTAATCAGGCGAAATCAAACATGTTTTAGAATAATAAATTGATTAGAGACATGGGACCCGGTGGAGATCGACCCGACGACCGCACGAGTCCTTAAAAAATCCTTAATTCGGAGCATATATATATATTTTAAATTCTGTCTATAGTTTACGCGAGTAGTACACATTTAAATAAAACACTTTAACGGTTTAAAACGCGATATATTACGAAACGCGAACTGTCGGGCCGAAGTTAAAAATCATTTCCAAATAAGTTTAACTAATATATCGCGTTTTAAACCGTTAAAGTGAGTTCAAATATATTTAAAAGTTTTTTTTTGCAATTAGTTTTTACAGTTTAAATGCGTGTTTATTGCAATAATTACAATTTAAAGCAATATTACGATTTAGTTAAAATATTAATGTTGTATAATATGCTTGCTTTTAAACCAAACCTACTTCTACTACAGACATTATATTTACTACCTACTTACTAGATACTACAAATTGTAACTATCTCTTACTTCTTTTTATATGTAAGTTCAGTGGCGTAGCTATCGTAGGGCCAGGTGATGCAGTGCACCAGGGCCCCGGAACTTAGGGCCCCTGGTGCACGAATAGGATATTTTAACGTTTTTGTTGCTATTTATAATTTTGGAGGTTCATTTAATTCAATCTAAGCTGAAAGAGGGGATGAGGGCCCCATTCTTTCTTAGGCTCTTGTTTTTACTTTTTAAATTTCATTAATCACACATTTGGTAGGCATGTTTCCATTTGAAAACATTTGACAAATATAAATACATAATAATATGTAGAACAACATTAGAGTAAATTGTCTTTTTTAATATAAGCCAGTTGGTATTTAACCTTTTTATATCATTTAACTGTGGTAATGTGGTTAATGACACTACATTGAACATTAATTTGATTTATATTAAGAGAAAGGTTCAAGTGAGACATTACCGAGAGTTTAAACATAAACCACTGGGTTAATTAAAGTAAAGAAAGACCACGTATTGAGGACATTCTCAGACTATTGGCAAAGTATTAGTGTTTGAAAACAATCATGAGATTCTGTGGTCAGCGGCTAATGATTTCGATTATCACCAATGGACTGACAATTGTTCGGTTAAAACTGTTTGGATAACGGGCATTTCTCACGGGCATCGAGGCTGACCAAAGATTATTTCGGCCGATCTAATTGTAATTTTAAACTTAAAATGGGACAGAAATCAAAGGCCGGAACAAACGCACAAGTAGAACATTGAAAATTTGTATAATAACGAGGTAGCGGATTATTTTGTTTTTTAACGCTACGGTGAATGCGTTGGCGCAGATTTTCAAGGTACGAGTATTGTGAACCAACAAGACAAGAGATTAAGACTACAGACTAAACACTTCCAAATTTAAACAAACAGTTTGTATGGCTATTTAGTTATTACAAAAAATAAATAATTGACAAACATTTAAAGCAATTATCAATTGAATCAAAACAATTTTAACGGTTTAATACGCGAAATGTATTAAACAGTCTCCCTATGACCAAAGCTGCTACAAAGTATCAGAAACTTCGCAGCTTAATTAAAATAATATGTTTTAGGTTAAACCAATACATATCGCGTTTTAAACAGTTAACATTATTTATTTAAATATGTAGGTAGTACTTGTGTAAACTACAGACTTTAGTTAGGCTCTGTTAGTGTTTGGGGACACCGATAAAAAGTATTCCAGTATTATGTTTAATTGCCTTTTTAGTTTCACCGTTCTTGCGCCCTATCTATGTGCCTTATTGAATAAAAATAGTGATATCAAAATAATAAAAATGTCTAACTTTGAAAAAAAAAATCTTTTAAGTTCTTAGTTCTGTATTTCTTAACAAAATAACCTTAGTACACTTTATAGATTAGAAAACGATAATAAATTGAAAAATTCCGACTCGGGCATGACTTGAACCGGCATCGTTAGCGTTCCGTGGTGTTGCTCTAACCAATAGAGCAACTGAGTCCCACACCTCATAGTCAACTTTTCAACTCGCACATGTATCAATCTGAGACGAGATCTTTTTCAAATAATTTTCAATTTTTAATCTATATATATAGTACCATCATGTGCAATAACATGTGAGTACACTTTATTGTAGTAATTCCTACGGTATTTCTACACCATGTTGAATAATACCTTTCCCCATCGACATTTTGTTTAAAAAACGCAAATGCCTTTTTGACACCGTTAAACACAGTGTCACCACGCTAAATTGCTTAATATACCGTGGTGTGACTGCACAAAATTGCCGAAAAACTCATTAATTTATATTCAACATAGCTTAGGAAAGTAGACCTTCTTATTTTAATTAAGATGTTGTTTTTTAACTTATCGCGGTATAAGTTTGATAACAGCGCTTAATTTAAAATACAAATAATGTTAGACTGTTATACTTCAGTTAAGAGACCGCTAACGTGGTTGAAGTTGCGTTATGGGCCCTTTTTAAGACGGAGGAAGGCATGGGGTTGATGGTAGGTAAACACCCCAGCCTATAACATCTAACAACAACAATATATTTTTGTTTTGGATATTCGGAAATCCACAGACTGAAACCGAAACGCGATTATAACTCACGGCTTTTTCATTTGTGGACGGTGGTTCGTTATCCGAACTGAATTTCGTTATTCCTTACGCCCATTTAATGTCCAGATTTCCAGAAGTCCAATATACAATTATTACAAACATGTTGGACCCGTACCCACGACCAGCCATACATTGCTACTATTAGACTAACGAGCCTGTTGAATGTATGTCGTACGTATTCTTTAGAATCGATTGTGGCAGTACTACTGTGAATTTAAAATCAAAGAGAATGGTTCAATTAGTATATATGTATATATATAATGGTAAATAGTAGTGTGATCGTGGATATACCTAGCGCTACTTTCCTAATAATAGTCTTTATGTTACGGTATTGGACATGACTACATGATATCCAAGATCTAACGGAATCTCTCTTTATTATCGAAGGTGGACTGATATGGTGTCAAAAATGATTATAATAATAGACGATAATTAGTATAGGAAATGTAATATTATAATTTAGAGGTTTATTATGTTGCAAATAAAGACTTAATTATGTATTAAAATCTTTTGTCATGTAAAATATCGTTTTAGAGTATGCTATTGTATTTTCTTAACTATTTTGGTAAAGAGATATAAAATATCTTCCACTCCACTTCAGTAGAATCTTAGTATTTTTAGATTAAAAGTCAAATGCTTCAGCCCTATAACATCGAAGACGCGCTGTCGACCTGTTTTAAGTCGAAAATGACTTCCTATTTAATTTAATCCCAGACTTTCAAGACGTCACACCAGACTCGATCGACAAGCCACTAGATTAACAAATATAAAAAAAACTTCTCATTGGTCAGCTTTCATTTTTAATCTCTATATCGCTCCCCATCTGGCAAAACACTTTCTTACTTAAACTATACAAAATATTATTGCTTGTAACAATCAACGCACAACTGTTATAAAATCTAAGAAAAGGTAAAGAGGATTTAAATTGATTTTCTTTTTATTTATGTAGTGGGGGTAAATAACTTTAAACAAACAGCTATCTATTTATCTCTTCTCTGGAATAAAATAATAATATGTAGCTTATTATTTCAACACACTCATGTATTCCTTGTAACTTGTCTTCTATGGCCGCCACCGTTACTCAAAGAGGTTTTTGGAGGCACATCCCGGGGACCCAATGAGCTGATATAGTCGGACAAGGCAACTACTTGTCTGTAAATAAAATCTACTTGTGAAATGGACACAGTCTATTATTGTATTAGTATTGTCTTCGCCCTATATCCCATTCAGAAAAAAAATCACACTGTAATATAATAAGCAAATCTAATCTCCAAGAGGTAGCCTTCTAGAGAAAGGTAAGTAGAAGTGAGCTGAATCATATCTGCAGTGTATGCTACCCCTACTACAAACAAGATTCAGCTAATTTACTTAATTCTATACACAGTTTTATCAAATAACGTAATCTCTCACGTCGCCTCCGTTTCGCTCATTTTATAATACAAATTACTGTAGGAATTTAGATATTTTACTGTTTGTAAATATATGTATAAGTACATAATACACGTCGAATGGATTCAAGGTTTAAATATGTTTTTATTAATAAGGTGGTCATGAAAATTTTTCGTCTTCCTGTTCCATTTACAATATATTTGAATATGCACTGCAGCCATAGCTCTATATAATATATGACGACGGTTTGGCGATGAGCAAAATTGGTTCATAAATAATCCTAGATATTAAAAAAAAATAAAAACAGATAAATTTATAATCTGTATAAAGAAAAGGTAAGATTCGTTTGTCAACGTCTGTTTTGTTTGATGACATACAAGTAGCATTTGAAATAATTTATGAAATCTGGAAAATTATAAGGATATTAGCTTAGTCCGCTTCATTAAGATAATATGTGTATTTTTATTTTATTTTATAGTTTTTTGCATGCATTGCATGAAACCAAAAAAAATAAATGAATGTTAAATGTCCGCTGTCATGATCTGTGTAAACTTCAAAGTCATAGCTTGACAGCTGCCTATCTTATCATACTGTATCTGTGTCAAATCGCGACCGCGTACGTGATACAGGGATGTGTGTGCATTAAACAGTGTTTATGTGCCGTGTTAGTATAAAAAGACTCCACAATAGATAATTACTTATTATAAAAACTAGAGCTGAAATGCGCAATATAAATAAAATATAAGATTTTACTTAGATATTTCGTAAGCTTACAAAAATGTTACCCGACTACGGTGCAGTAACACAAGCTCTTTTGGGTACACTTCTGACGTGGGGTTTGACAGCAGCTGGAGCCGGCTGCGTGTTCTTCATAAGAGGAAAACATGTGAGAAAACCTTATTTAATTTATGACATAAAATTACAAGGCACAGAAAATAAAGGCCTTCTTTCATATTACAGAGGAAATTATTGGATGTATCCCTGGGATTTGCTGCTGGGGTTATGACAGCGGCTTCTTATTGGTCTCTATTGGAGCCAGCTATAGAAATGTGCAAAGACTCGGGCATGTATGGTGATGAGGGACAATACGCATTTTTGCCTGTTGCAGTGGGATTCTTATTTGGGGCAGTATTTGTTTTTGGGACTGATAGATTCCTAGATTATCTAGGAATCAACTCTACAAACATGATGATAAGTAAGTATATATGACATTAATCACTTTACATTGTACCTTTACTTTATACTGTTTTTTGATAAATTATATACTGTTAGGTTACATACTGAAGGTTGGTTTATGTCAGTTTTTTTTTCTGAAGCATAGCTTCGGTGAGACTTTAAACCGAGCTTAGCTTAGGTGTAGAAGAATAGCGTTTCAGTGCTAGGGAAATATTTATAAAATTATTTTTTTTAATACTGAAACTAATTCTATAGGATAAGATAATGAAATAAATCCTACTGAATAATATGGTACTTTAAATACAATAGGCAAATTTTAAATCAATTTAGATTAAATAAAAATAAAAACTAATAACCACAAAAAAAATATCTTAGTATTAATGTATCTTAAGTAACATTTTTAATCATTCTTATTTTTACTTCTTTTTAATTCTTCGCATTAAGTAATTCACATAAGATAGAGAACAAGTTTTAGTATTCCTTATTATGCAAAATTTGATACATACTAATTACACGTAAACATATAATACACGTAACTTGAGCACAATTTTTATTTGGTTTTAAATGTAGTAATTATTTTATAAATTGTTTGATACTTTTAAACTTTAAAGCATAATATAAACATCAAAATACGTAATTATGTGATTTTGAAGGCTTAATGACACGGCAAAATTAAAGTTACCTACATTACGCACTACATAACTTCTAATGGTCCAACACACTACCTAACTACACACACATTAAAACACATATGCATCTATATATACTTTTGGAAAACATATTCTTAAGTATTTTTTTACAACCTATAATATACAAATTATCTCTTTGTTTTGACCTTGATAAGAATAATTAGCGCACAGACTTTATTGTATGAGTTATAAAATTTAACATATTTTTTCATACTAAGACAATATACATGATATTTACTTAATCTTAATAAAGACTACCAGATTACAATGGACGGATTGTTTATTCAAGAATGTAGAAAAAACATAATTTATTTTTATAATTATACTTAAATATAATACAAAATTCAAGGGTAAATTAAAGGTTAGTTAAGTATTTACAATTGTAGGAAATATAAAAGAAATTATAATTTTTTTGGCCATATTATAACGAGGTCAATTACACCATAGAAATAATGCTCTTGATTTATTTACTTCTTATCATGATTTCATGAATAATTTAATCAATACTCGGTAGTGCCACCTTAAACCAATATTTTTACACTTTATCTTTGACTTGTAGTATGTTAGTAATTCTATGAACTTGCCATCAACTGAATCAAAGGTTTGTAGTCTTATCAAACATGTTAAGCGACGTGCTACGACTGAGGTGTTCTTTGTTTTTGATGTATGCTGCAGTATTTGTATTAGAAGCTATTTAGATTGAATACAATAAGAACCGTAGGTATTTGGAAATGATTTTTAACTCTTGTCTCCCCGTGACCACGGCTGCTGCAAAGCATCCGAAACGTCGGGCCGAGGTAAAAAATCATTTCCAAATAAGTTTAACTAATATATCGCGTTTTAAAGCGTTACTGTGTTTTATTTAAATACTCATAATATGTCAAAATCCTAATAATAATCGTTATTATCTGAACATTTCAGCTATTACCAAGAGTAAAGACTCAAAGGAAAAAATGGAAGACTTAGAAATGATGACCGCTTTAAATAGACGCCCATCAAATCCGACAGTGGTGACGATGGAAGCCACTCAGCCTGTTGAGTTTGCAGACTGCATTTCTAATCAACACACGGCACAACGCAGAAGGGGGCACCATCATTCTCAACACTCCTTGGTGAGTGTACAACTTATAATAGATAATGTGATACCGCACGTCTGCCATATTTTAATGACTATACCGCGCGATATAGTAATAAAAAAATACAACACAATAATTTCACGTGTAACCTAAGTAAATAAATATATAGCTGAAGAGTTTGTTTGTTTGTTGCGAAAACGATTCAAGACACCCAAAAAATATGTAAGAATGAATGATTCTTCTTTAAATTATCTAAAAAATGTCCGCGATAGTGTATGTCCATCGTTTAAGATTAACTTGCAAAAAAGATGGGACGCGTATGACGTGGTGGGTGGGAGATTAAATTTATAGATTTTCAAAAACAATCTTTAATGCCCAATATAACTTCTACGCGGACGAAGTCGCTGACACAGCTAGTATTTCAAAATTCATAGCAGTTTTGTCCTTGCGGTCATACTTTAGTACTTACGCCATAACAGTGTTATATCAAATGTTCCAAGCAGTACGCAGGAACTACCAATTGGATTAAAAAATAAAGATAAGGTGCGCGTGATATAATTAATAGATTATGGCATTAAAATCTGTAGTACACGAAAAATTAATGCAGAGCCATCAAGACTTATTTTATACTAGCTGTGCCAGCGACTTCGTCCGCGAGAATCGTTATTTTGGCCATTGCCTGTGTTCTTTCTCAGGGTCTAAACCATCTGTGTACCAAATTTCGTCTAAATCCGTCCAGTAGTTTTGGCGTGAAAGAGTAACAGACAGACAGACTTTCGCATTTATAATATTAGTAAGGATAGATATATGTTTCCTCTTTTTCTGGACCTGGCTAGTCTGAAAACCAGTGCTTTGCTCAACTGTGCAGATGAGTGACAAGCACTCATCTGCACAGTTGAGATTCTGATTACCATTGCTTATCTGTATATTCGTAATTAAGTATTTATTATTAATTGGTTTGTGTTTAAAATGGCAATAAATAATTTTTTATTTCAATATCAAAATTTTTAGCATTTGATATGTATAACAAATGATTTTTCTCAAGTGGATGCCGGTTCAAATCATTTTTTTCAATCTCAGTCAAAAAAACATGTGAAATTCAAAAGATTTCAGAAGACCAGTTGCTTAAGAACCTACCTATTTGTTTCTTATTTGACTGATTAACCAACATCTAAAGTTGTCAATTAATGCTAAATATTGTAATTTTACAGAAAAATGGAGAAGTAGGTGAAGGTGATAGGAGGGATAGCGTTATGCGATCGCTGGAAGCTAGGCAGTCGCAATGGAAGAGGATAATGCTTCTCGTTGTGGCCATCACGGTTCACAATATCCCAGAGGGTCTTGCTGTTGGCGTGGCATTTGGTGCGTCCGCCTCATCGACCAAGGCCTCCTTCCATAGTGCCAGGTTAGTCTATTATTAAGCGTTATCAGCTTTCTGTTTAATCTTTGTGAGGTCTTATACAACTGTTCTGCCAATCTGTCTGTCATTATGTTGCATAAATCTTAGTGCGAATACTGAGAAAGAGGATGTGAGTAATATTTAAAGTTAATCAACGACATCTTTTACCACTTATAAACGTAAAATGCTCTACAGTTCACATAGTACGGTCCGTTGTAAGTAAGAACGAAATAGGAATTATTTCGAATGGAACTTTCTTTATGATAGAAGACAGTTAAGCATATGGTTCAAATTGTGATAGGTGAAATACGCCCACTAAATAACATCTAAATAAGATGCCCTGTCTGCCAATTTAGGCTTCGGATACTTAGAAGTCCTCGGAAAACTACTTAACCCCCACCCTGGACCCGGGACGTGCAAAATTTATATCGGAACTTTCTATAGTGTAAATAATATGAACACTTCTAAAAGCACGGTTTAATTCATGAAACATGCCTTATCAACGTTTTATACTCATATGTATTTATTCAGTCAGTATATTTCTATTATTTTTGTTTGAAAAGAGTTAATTCAGAATCTACTTAGATGGCCGTACTTTAGTGAGCGCGATAAAATATTCCTCAAGGCGATTGTTAAATGTGAATAAACGACATCTAGTTGAAAAATAATGTATTTACCTTAAACCGCAAGATAACAGCTAACTTGAAAATATTTTACCGATATATTTAGAAAATACATTTTGGTAGCGCCCGCCATCTAGCGTTAGAATATTAGGTGATGTTGTGTTAGAGCGTGGATAGATGGCGTTAGTGGTTTATAAACTAAGCAATTGATTATATCCTTAATTTTGTATCTACTGATTTATTTGTTATATATTTGAACTATTATTGTACGCTATCTTCTATTATTGCTTAAGAAACCTGCTTACCAGCGAAACGAAAATATGTTTCTACCCTTTTTATCAATGTTATTTTTTTAATATGCATGTTACAAATACTTACATACTTACGTTGTAACTCTTCCAATTATCTTTTACTTTAGGGGCTATATTTTACTGTTGTCTATAAAAATAGCAGCAAAAATATTTTGAAAATAACGCGGCGATTTTAACATGCTGTTTGATCATATTGGTCGCCATTTTGTTACGCGAGGCACCGGAGGGCGCCGGCATGGCATTGATGTAGGAATTTCATTGATAACTCGGTGCGAGAGGGATAAAACTAGTTGCACTATGGACCCAGAGCTAACTCATTTCTAATTAGTAGGTTGTGTATCGTATGAAAATGAGTTTTTCAATTATTCCTCAAATTACATTTATTATTACCATTTCTAGTATCTTTTCTTTTTGCGTATTGTATTTTGAAAAAGTTGAATTTAAATAAAACGCTTTAACGGTTTCTAAACCGTTAACGCAATATATATTAGTTAAAATTAATTTAACTACCGCCCGACGTTTCGGAGGCTTTGAACTTATGTATATCGCGTTTTAAACCGTTAAAGTGTTTTATTACATAAACTATAAATGTGTACTACTCGCGGAAACTACAGACAGTATTTAAAGTTGAATAATGTTATTTAATATAAATGTACGCAGATGCAAAGCGGGGGTTTGAGTTCTTGGTACCTTGGAATAGTGTCAAGTGGCTGCGAGAGCCTCATACAATTTGATTTATTTATGTTAACAATAATAGACTAATACCTACTTTGTAACTACTACTAAATCCCTTTTTTCTATATTCATGTCAGAATCATAGTATATAGTGATATAATATTATTACTAACAATGACTGCTATCTAGCAACAAACGGTAGAGTACCTAGTAGAGTAGTAGTTTTTTTTATTATAGTTCTCAAAATACTGGTTAGAAAATGTTTAAATGCTGAAAGAAAATGGTTTTCTTGTCTGGGTTGCGTGAAATATCGTTTTTTGATAGCTACAGGCCATTTTCCTATTTGTTGTGTTCCATTATAACGAATTAAATAAACAAACAATTGCGTGACCCATTTCTAATGTTGCGTACGAAGAAATTAATCGTAAAGTAGTAAAAATCTCCAGCTTTAAACAAAGTAACTTGCCAAATGTCCTGAATCTTCCTTTTTATATATGTTTGTTACTTCACGCACCAAAGGTTTTACCAATATTGATGTAAGTGAATGTCAAAATAGCCAGCACCCTGGAATATTAACTTGACTACTTTAACTCCGAGGACCAAGGAATTCTGATGATGTGTAGCCGTTGATACTAGCCGTGTTAAAGCCGTGTCTAAATGCCAAAAGTCCTATATTTTTAAAGATGAAGACAGAGAAACATGGGGTCCGATTGATGGAAGGTGAAAAGCCATGCAACATTCAAATCAGGTGCGATGTCGATCTAGATTGCCTTTGGATATTCGGAAGTCTAGACTGAAACCAAAACGCGATTAATTATCACGGCTTTTTCGTCTGTGGACGGTGGTTCCGTAACCTTGATGGTATTCGATATTTCTACCATCCATTTGATATCCAAATTCAAGACGAAGTCCGATATATTTGAGAAACATAATTTGAAAACAATTAGGAACATTTTGAACCCGGTGGGAATCGGACACACGACCTGTGTATTGCTACCATTAGACCAACGAGGCTGTCGAAAGTATATTAATGCATTAAGACTACAGATAGTTGAAACTTTGGAAAAAGTAATGAGAAAGTCGGGATATATACCTAATGAGATGACTCCGCAGTGGCGTGTTTGGAAGGAACCGTCACACGGCTACGGCTAGAGTTAATTTAGTCAATTAGATTATGAAACGTTTAACGCGCGCTTTCAGAGCTCATTAAAGCTGACACATTTCACATCGTGACATTTTCTCATATACACATTTAAATTATTGCCTTTTACAAATTATATCATGATAAATTGTACAATCATTGAGCTGGATAATTAAATTTATTTTAAATCACTAATGTTATCCAAAAATATTGAAATAAAAATTAAAAACTAAGACAGTATAATCTATAAAGCTGAGGAGTTTGTTTGCTCGAATTAAAAAATATGTTTGTATTGGTTAGATAGAGCATTTATCGAGGAAGGCTATAAATTGCGCTGCGACTAATAGGAGCGAAAAAATAGCGGGAAATGTGGAATAAACGGGAAGTATTATTCATCCTTGTGGGTTTCCGTTATAAGATATCCAAAAAATATGTATTAAGGAATGATACCTCTTTCAATGATCTAAGAAATGTCTTGTCTTTTAAGATAAACTTGCAAAAACGATGGGACGCGGGCGACGTAGTGGGTAACAGCTTAATTTTGTATAGTTGAACAGGAAGTTTGCAAAATTTTTTATGTTCAAAATATTCTACGCGGACGATGTCGCTGACGCAGCTAGTTGTATAAAAATCTCGAAAATGTGTTTTGGGCGATTTACGTTTGGTCTAGACACAACAGTTCGTTGCCTAATATATCCGCTAATATAACTAGCAAAACTCATTATTTATATTACATATTAACATTGCAGTTTAAATTATTCTAACTTTAACATTAATGAAGTCACTATGAAGGAATGTAGTCGTCATTGATTATGGTCAATACATGATACAAGGCGAATCTCATACATGATGTTCATACGAATGAATTTGTTGCTACAACCTATATAATATGGGTGATAATTTTGACATTTGACATTTGAGTTTAAAACGCAATATATTAGTTAAACTTATTTGATTTTTAACTTCTGCCCGACGTTTCCGATGCTATGCAACAGCTGTGATCACGAGGAGATCAGTCTCGTTTAACTTAAAATATCGCGTTTTAAACCGTTAGTGTTTTATTTAAATGTGTACTACTCGCGTAAACGTATAGACAGTATTTAATTGCAGTTCCTGTCAAACGCTCAAATGTACTGTCATTGAAATTTTGACCAATGACATTCCATTTTAAAATTTTCTTTTTTTCTTTCTTTAATTACAATTGTGTCAATTTCTTTATACTGTTATTGTAGTTCTTTATACTGTTTTTTTCAATTGCCATAGAATATGTAATTAGGTTACTATTCGGTTATAATCGATTCTTTATTACTTAGTAGTCGTTAGTTTTAACATAAGGGTTAAAAATAGAATATGATTTTCGCCTAAATATTTTTCTTAATCGCAGGTACCAACAATGAAATTTCTTTTCAGTACTTCTACTTAAAAAAAATAACTGACAAGTTACGACAAGATAAGCATTAATTAATCTAAGTAGGTATATTTCGTACGGTCGCTAGAGATCAATTCATGAAAAGTAAAAAGTTGTCTTGATACGAAAATGCATATATCCCTAACTAAGTGTTGTTGGTGGACATTTTATTATTTTGTATAATAATACGAGCTCAAGAGGTCTTCGGTGTAACAGTAGAAACTAGTGGCTTTTTATTTGGTTAGTAGTTAGATATGTAATAGCGATCGAGCGGCGGGGGCATCGACCTGCGCCGACGCAGACGCCGACCGATGAAACTATTTCACTGAAAAATCCGGCGCGCCATATCATCGAAGCAGCCTTGACTATGTGTCGCGTCGCCATCGTCTGTACTGACGCGTGGGTGCGCTTGAGGCCTCGTCCTAGTTGCAATGTGTTCACACGAGTCGCGAACCCGATAACTGTCTAATATCTGAAAGTTCTTCATACCTTTTACCCGGCTCCGGGGAAGGTCAAAGGGAGAGGTTCGTTGATCTAATGGTAGCGATGTATATGTTTTCAGTTTCATCACATATGGACCACTTCATATTACATATTCCTTGTAAATATCTTTGCAGATTAATGATTTTCCACGTCTTTTTTGGCTCTATTTGCTCGCTCCCATTAAAGATTTCGTTTTAAGGCCTTCAAACAAACAAACTCTTCAGCTCCATAATATTAGTATATATGTAGCCACTCGTTACCGCCGTAGCATATAGACCGCCTTTGATCACGTCAAGAAAACAGTGCATACAAAATGATGTACGATTTGCTCACCCAATCATCTCCAGCGATGATCAAATCGAGAC